CAAGATGGCAACGTAAACGATGTTAAAACGGCAAAATACCGTGAGAATTAATGCAGTAATACACCGTTTTATAATCGTTTCAGGCCGCTTGAGACGCCATGTCCGATGGCCCGAATAATCGTCCTGGGTATGTCGCAATGGAGCTGCATATTCGACAAGTGTTAATAATTAAACATATTATCAATTTACTGTAACTACAATTAGCAGTACAAATCGATGCACCCAACCGTTTTTTATTCCGTAAAACAAATCATCGTTAATTCAAAAATAACTATAATCATCATAAGATGACATCTGATGAAGATTATACCTACAAAATGATGCTGGAGAAACTGCACTATAACAAAACGAAAAACTTGATAAAGTAAATTTATTTAAGTCAAAAACAATAATAATAAAAAAAGTTTTTTTTCTTAGGAAAAACAAAAAATATATTTATGAAAAATGCATGCAGATATCAATACTGTTGTTTGATGGGGAAAAACAGTGTGTAACATATTTTAATTTTTTTTCAACTCGATTTGAATATTATATTACTTTTTAAAATGCATTTTATTAAAATGTGACTGCGTAATTTTGTTTTTGTTTTTCGTTACGAATAATAAAAAATTTAGACAGAACGAAAAATAACATCAGGAATTCATTATCATATAACATGACTGTATGAATATTATTCTTATATTTTAAAAAGCAACTATATTAATAGATTTAATCTACCAGATGAAATATTATATATAATATTCAATAAATTGAATCCGACCGATGTATTCTAGTCATTGATAGATATAGATGTAAATTCGCGATTTGATCGGCTAGTATTCGGTTCTCTCTATATTCAACATCTTAATTGCGTGATCAAAAGATCCAATATTCATAATTCTTTGGGAGATGATGTTCACATTTTTGAGGGTAGGTGTGGGTGTGCGCATGGATGTTGCATTCTTCTTTACCTTCACTCATACTAATACCGACACTCACACTCTAAAATTAATTGTACCTTCATCTTATTATTATGACGATTTTAAATTGAAACACATTATGACATTAGATATATATATATAAAGAAATTGAGTAATTTTAATAGGACATGAACTTATGTTAATAATATGAAAACGATCAATTACACCGTTATAATCACAATCATTGATATAAAAGACAACTATTTTAAAGAAATTTTTTAATTTCGTTCACAAATTCATTTAATAAATTTTTAATCAGAACAAATGTTTTTTGCATAATGAACAATATATTATATTATAACTTAAAACAGAAGATCTGATTAAACTAAGATCGATTTTGTCATCATAATAAACTGATTGTAATATTCTCATGTTTAAATTTACATATAGAAATTCACGAGTTATTGAAATGAAACGAAAATAAAGATATATAAGAAAAGAGAAGACATACAAATAAGAATAAAGACAAGTAATAGAGATAGGATTTACCTGCTTGACATCCATTATAGTTGCAAACCTATAATGATTCATGCAACTCAGGGTTTATTTCAAGAATATGAATTGCCTTATATTTGATTTCATCTTTAGCAATCACAAATGGTTTTTTTATGTAGATGGGTGAGAATGAGGATAGTAATAAAGGAGAATATGATGCATGGTGATATAGATAGTATATTTATGAACATCAATAAATAAACAAAACAAAAGGAAAAATAACAATAGAAGAGAGGAGATAGCTAGACTGGAAGAACAAGTGATACTTAGAAAACCAAAAGACCCCCAAGAACAGCTGCCTCGGAGCGACGATCAAGCCGTGGTGATAATAGCAAAAGAGAAGAAATAGGTACTAATTGTTCAAAATAATTAAGTATACCATCTCGAACTAGATGTTGATGTTTGGAACTAATATAAATTTTATCAGAACTAAGATGTTGTTCCTGAAGACCAAGATTGACTACTGTAAAGTTAAAGATGTTGGATAATTCAAAGAGTTGAGTATTTTATAAACGAATATCATATGTTAATGATGAGAGAGATGAAAAGGAGGTGGAAATTTTTAAACAAGGAAAAGACGCAACGATATTAATGCTGTCTTTATTATTAAGATGAATAAGATTTTCAATTTGGTTGATAGTTGTTTGAGCAGAAGACGAGCGGAATGAGTTGGTGCCAATTAAAAACATAATGGACATGGACCACGAAAGTTAGGAGAGGGTATTGGATTTTTGGAGTTGGTAGGTGGCACAAAGAACACGATTGTTGGTAAATAACCACCGGACACCGGAAATTGATTTGATAATGACGCGGTGAGCGGATGTTGTTGTTAATGAAAGAACAAATTTGGCGTGACTGTCCGAAAAGACAAAGTATAGAAGTAACGATGATGGTGGCGCATCTTGATGGTGTGGTTGAGTATCTTAGAATGAAAGAAAAATATTATTTGGTTAGTCTCTCTTTTAAAGACATAACCGTTCGTCTGCGCTCTCTCGAGATGTATATAAATAAAAAACTAATTTATTTTTTGCGGGTGTGGGTGTGACTTTATTGGTAGATAATCGTATACACCTGCATTCACAACCACCCTTAACTTGACATCAAAGTCGATTGCTGAGAAGCAAAAGTTGAAACTAACAGGTTTTGATTTGTCTTTGCGTCAAAAGATAAGACGATCAGTTTTCAATTGATTTATACCCACATCGTTCTTAATCTACTAAAAGATAGCCTTCCACCTTCATCACTCATCCGCATGACTCATATGTATGAGTTTTTAGAGAAAAATAATAACACGTTGGCATACAATAGAAGGATGAGTAACGAAGAATTAGAAAGAAAAAACCGAGGATAACAATGCTCTGCCTAGTGAAACAATGATTCATAATGTTATCTCATGTGATAAAAGAAGAATTCAAATAACAGACGAACAACGTTGAGAGGCAAACAGACAATGATGAATCGCATTTCAGAGAGCAAACAGGAAGGTAAGTCGTCCAGACTTTCGATTGATCGAAAAGTTAGCTAAATCTTTGTTTTAGCCGCAAACAGCAATAAATTAGTAATTACATTCGAAGATATTCCAAATATAACCACAAAATATGGACAAATTCCCGATGGTTATCAAAGTTTAATATGGGAGAATGCATGGTATGTTCATGAATCTGAAGCACAGAATTATCACTCTAATACCGGTTATGATCATGCATTTACTGGTGGTCGAAAATATCTTGCATACAATTTTGAACCCAACAATCCAATATCAATCAAGAGTTTCAATTCACAACATCCATTCACTTTTCATTCGTTTGAGTCGAATTCAATTCA